TTTCTGGAGAGGTTTCTGTGAGGTGAGAGAGGTTGGGGTTTCCTTTCGCTGAGTGATTTGAGCTCCTGGGCCTTACGCCCTGCTCTTCCTGCCGCCACCACAAAGCGATAATTTCTGCAGTCCAGGTGCGTCAACGATGGCCTTAATAGCAAATTCTAAATAAATAATAAAAGCAAGGACTAATGGAAAAAGGGCTCAGAGTTATGGAAAGTGGAGTTTTAATAATTGGCTTCCTATCTCCAAACCTATCAGGAACAGTAATGTTTTATACTTTCCTTTTAACACTAATTGTGGTGCTTTTTTTCAAATAAAACCAAAACAACTTTTTTCTTCTTTTCTTCGCCCACCTTTTCCTCCAGTTATATGTTGGTGGGAATGAGGCCTTTTTTTTTCTCTGAAAGGGTCTGCCTGGTGGCTTTCAGAAGGTTGCAGCTATTTTGGGTCGTAGCTAAATGACAAATATTGTCAGTGAGTTGTCTAAACTCGAAATCCTGCTTCAAAGGTCTGTGCTACCTGATGTAGCTAATCTCTCCCCTTTGATGCCACCCTGAAGTGTTTTTCTTTCATTAGTACAGTGGAAATTTTGGGAATCTTGAGAAAGGGTCTCAGCTGTGGGAGAGCTTCCCGTGGCCCAAGGGAATTGCGGTTCCTGCACCCACGCCTGCTCTCTGCTCCAGCGCCTTATGTCTTGTCTTCCCTACAAAATGTAAACATTAAGTAATGTGTAAACTAATCTTTTTGTTTTCCTGCCCCTGAAATTTTAAGGGTACTAATGTGATCTTAATGCTATTCTTCAAGGCAGTAGTTTGAGCCCCTCTGAAATGTGGTCTGTGCTTTTCCGGGCCAGACCATCTGCAGGTACCAGATCCCAAATTAGACAAATCCTGAACCAGATTATTCTGAGAGGTGTTGTCTGGTCGCATTCTTAGCATGTTTAAGTAAACACGGTGTCGGAAGGGAGGGAGCTGTGAGGTGCAGCTATGGGGAGGCAGCGTGGGGAGGAAGGAAGTCCTGCAGCGTGTGGTGGGACCGGCAGCTCGAGCTCTCCCCTGTGTGATATCAGCGTCACGGGCTGCTGCTGCCCCAGCGCCCCGGAGCAGCACACCCTGTCTGTGCTCAGCAAGGCAGCGAGCACTCGGCGCTGGAGTTTCCAGTGTTGGACTGTCTCATTTTCCAGTTTATGGCTCTACGGATGAGCTGTGGGTTGGTTAGCAGGGTTTTCCACTGCCCACTTACTGCATAGAGGCGTGCTTACTGTAGGGGTTTTGGGTAATTATTTATATTGCAGGAACTTGATACAGCTTCCAAAGGTATTTGTTATTTTCAGTCAAAAGCAAAAGAAAGTATTTGATGGTTAGACACTTCAATTTTACTTTTCTCAGCTGCTGCAGGGCCCCATGTTCCAAGAGATCAATGTGTGGGAATGGTGCTGGTGATACCAACTTGCCTGACAAAAATCTGCCTCGAGGGTTCAAATAATTACTGTACTTGAATAATTTTTTATTTTTTTTTAAGTTGGCTGGATGTACAAGTTCCTGAGAACCAAACTCACTGTTTTTAGGCACTTAAAAGTGGTGTGGTTGAAATTCTTAGAGGGATAAACACCTTGATGTTTCAAGTATTTATGGTGGGCCTTTTGCCCTGCAAAAGAGGCTATGTTCTGCATATATGTGAAACTGCAGAATCAACACTGTGATTTTTAACATGTGTAATCACTTCTAAGTGTTTGATTTATGGTGATGTTGGATTCTACATCTCTGAAAATGTAGGTGTAGAATTTGCGAGTTATTTTTATATTCTTGTGCTAATAAATACCACAGTGATAGCAGATGACTTGTTTAGAAACCAAATTAACTGTCTGCCTTTTCTTAACTGTAGAGCTGTCTCTTTCTAGTTTTTTAATTTTAACACCACCTCCACCTCTCCCACTCCAAAAAATCAGATTGTCCCTTGCTTGAAGAAGATCAGTCATTCTCTGAAATCTCTTGAAGTTCAAGTAGAACAGACTTGGAATTAATCTGTAGTTAATTTATGTAGACCTCAAGGCAGTCCTGTCCAGGACAATTTCATGTTACTTTCTTGTATGTTGCACAAAGGACTGTCCTTTATTTGTTCCTTTTGACAAATAAGACAAAAATTTGACAAAAAGAGAATTCTAATACAGAGCTACATATGGAAGCACTGTTCAAAAGTAAGAATTCACAGCATTTCTTGAAATAACTGAAATAACATCCAGCATTAACAGAAAAAGGTCAGCTTGCCCTGAGTTTTTTTCTTTTCTTTGGGCTATCAAATAAGTAATTTATGTAATCTTTAAAAAAAACAACAACAACAAAACAAAACAAAAACAACAAAAAAAGACAGTGGCTGTTGCTGGTTTGATGCCTAAAACTCTAAATGTGCAATTTACTGTTAAATCACAATATTATTTAGTTTCCACTCATTGTCAATAAGCTTCATGAAAGACTGTAAGACAACCAACCAAACATGAAAGAAATGTGCTTGGGTGAATAATAAACCTTAGCCCTTGATCGTAGACAGTTGGGTGTGCAATTCAAATGAGGTGTCCTGTTAATTACAACCTGTAAGTACACATAGCATGTGTGATAACAAATGCTTGTGGCCTCCTGGCATCTGGCTTTGAAAGCTGGGGGTGCAGAGGCTCTGGGGGACATGAGAGGTCGGTCTCATAAGACCTGCCTTCCTGATGTGCCTGTTCATGGACTTGCTCCCATTTCACTGAACAGAGCGATGGCTGTTGGGGACCAGGGGGCTCAGCACTGCAGGTAAACTCAGGTAAAGCCCTGCCAGGTCGTGTGTTCATAGTGGTCAGGCACAAAGTCACAAGTAATGCCCGCTAGGACTCTGAAACAACGGGCACGGGAAATTCGGTTTGAATTTTGTATGTGTGTGTTCTCGTATGTGGTGACCGGAGTTTTACTTCGGGCTGTTTCCACATTTGTCGTAGGGCTCGAACATCTGTTCCCTCGAGCAGCAGCAGTGGAAGTGGTTTGCTCACGGGCTGCAGGCTGCGGTGGTGTTGCTCTTCAGTGCTAAGTATAGTTGAGCGTCGCTCTGAGGACAGTTGAGTAACAGGCTGATATTCTTGGCTTAATACCTCAGGCAGCGTCTGAAGGAAATATTTGTACATGTGCACATGCATATGTATACCTCAGTGTCTGTCTGCGTGCCGGCAATGTTTGCACAGTGTGTGTACTCCTTGGAGGAAAAGCACCCTCCTTTCTCTCAAGTGGAAAATAATTGAAAGCCAAAAATATTGGCTGTTTTTCTTCTACGATTTGACATTTCCCAAAACAGCTTAAGCCCTTTAGGCCAGAGCAAAGAAGTTTTACAACCATTTTTTTCCTTCCGAAGTTCTCCATATAAGTCTTCCTTGAAATGTCTCTTGCCAGGATTTCCCTCTCTGTGTTTGCCCCAGCACGGTGAGCTCTGACCTGTTGGTGTTAGTGCCAGGCTGCCGCACCTCTTCATGGCTTTCCTCCATTACTTTTCTGAAAGGATTCGGTTATAGGAGCATCACCTGCTCCTTGCTTGAGAAGACAACCTGCTTGGCCATTCTGTGAGAGATGCCATTCCCTGTGTAAGAGGGCGAGGGAGGTCCTGTGTTGCCATCCCCGGGATGCTGCGGGCACAGCTTCAGGGGACGGGTGACCTGACACGCTTTGCCTGAGCTCCGAGTTGGTGTCTCCTGCTTGGGATACAGAAGCACTTGGTTTTGTTGGCATGGTTCCTCTTGTTAGCAGAAAGGGAAAGAAGTCAGTGTGAAGATCAGACTCTTTCAGATGTTCTGCATTGCCTTAAAAAAAAAAAATAGTATCCGTACTTGTGTTGTTAGCTGACTGCATCTAACCACAACAGTGGTGACATTACCATGTCACTTCATTTGGGTAAGAAAAAACATTTTCCCCTCTTCCCTCCACTCCTCCCCCCCCCAATCGCTTAGTATCTCTTGCTCGCCCGTTGAAGCAAGTTTACAGGAAACTTCTCTGACGTGTGCACCAGCCTTGTTTAGCATATTGTTGTTTTTTGTATTTTGGGGGAGGATGCTTGGGATAACTCTGAAGCAGTAACTTTTGTGCTTGTGGGTCTGTAATCACTCTGAAAAAGATATTAGCTTTGTGAGGGTGCCGTGCTTGACTCTGGCCTTTCTAATGTTTACTTGTAAGTGTAGTTTCCACTAAACTTCAGGAAAGAAGAAAAATCACATCTGCTTAATTTGCAGGTTGGTCTTACGGTTAGGTGTTCAGAGATGGTAGCCAGCTTGGGCAGGAGCGAGGAAGTTCAGCAGATCCAGTTCAGCAGCACACAAGAAAAAAATACTTCCAAAATGTGGGTGGTTAATGGAAACAGAGATTGGATAAATACTTACTAGATATAAGCAGACTATATTCCATTGCTATTCTGTAAATACAGATTTTCTAAAGACATATACTGTTTCCTAAAAATGTCTATGTTGTGTCAGAAATAAATCGAGCTCTTTGGGAGGTTTTTAACTTTGGTTATCTGAGAGATACACCTTTAGAGGTTAGGGTGTTTTGGTTTGTTTTTTTAATGCGTCACTGGGATGCAAGTAACAGTCTGGAAACAGACAAAGGAGGTTTGGAAGAATTAATGTAAGGAAAGTGTAAATTCTGTGTGGTTAATCGGGTTGAGAGGCTCTGTATGGTGTGCTTTTCCTGTTCTCTTGCTTATAAAGCAAATCAACCTTTTCTGGTTTTGTGAAGCAACATTACGATAAAGGAAAATTTTGATTTGAGTATCAGCAGTGTGAAAATTGAGGTCTTCCTCTTTGGCTTCCAGATCATATTTCATTTGAATACACTACAAATAAAGCAAACATGTGCATCTCCCAGTTGCAAGGAACAAAGACCAGTTTTTGTCTTATTCCCCCAGAACACTGGTTGCTGCAAGCTGTCTGCTCAGAAATAAGCGGTTTTCTGGGTGCAATGGTTTTCTCTCTTTGTTCTTGCCCTCAACAGGTAGCCCCGAATGACGAAGCTGTGGTAACGCTGCTTTGTGAATGGGCTGTGAGCTGTAAAAGGTCCGGTAAGCACAGGGCCATGGCTGTAGCCAAACTCCTGGAGAAGAGGCAAGCAGAAATTGAAGCAGAAGTAAGTTTTTTCTACTTCTAGACTAGCGTGAACAGTATGGTTAAAAACATCACTTTAATCTCTACTCATTACAGAACAAGTAAGTTTGATGGCATTTGGAGTATTGGGGATTTTTGTCATCAGTTTACAGTTTTAATGTTCTAGATAAATTTAACATGAAAAAGCCGCCTTTTTGAAATAAGAGGAAATTGCAACGTAACTCAGAATGGTCTAAGTTAGCTGATTTATGTCTGTTTGAAGTGTTTTACTTCTGTGGACTACTTCCCCAAATAACGGAGTGCCCACAGTATCTGGAGTCCCTTAAAAAGTGGAGGGTGGGTCCGGCTGCTGGGGCAGGGCCGTTCAGCTGGTGGGGGGTCTCTGGGAAGGTTCCAAAACTAAGATCCGTTTTAAGGCAAAATTTGAGTGTAACTTTAAATCTTGCATTCTGTAGAACTCCTTTGTTTTCAGGGGAAATGAAACATTTCACCAGAGAAGCAGGACACAGTAGTGACATCTCCTACTCCAGCTTGCATAAACTGACACTTCTCCCTGAAACTTCAGTAGAATGATAGAATCATTGAGTAATGCTCAATCTGCTCCATAGTGGGGATTAAAGAGAGGCAGTGTCTTCGCTGTGGCCTCTCTGCAGCTTTCTGGACCAGTGATATTCCCCGTAGCCCAGAGCACGGCTGCCTTGGCCTCACCTGCATCCGAGCAGCGTCGGCAGATGCTTTTCCTAGAAAAGGGTCCCCAGGAAAGCGCTGTCTCTTCAGCCTGGGTGCGGGTACAGACAGATGAGAGCACTCTCAGAAGTGCAGGTGGGCAGACAGTGTGAGGTGCAGAAAAGGCTTTCACTTTCCAAAGCCTCTCTGCTTTGTCCGCTCCTCACCACAAACCATTAATTAGGGGGATGGGAGCTTACCGTTTTGCTTCTGACTCACTAGCACCGAAATCCACTCAAAGCAGAGATGTTTGCCCTGGTTTGTATTATACTTAGTGTAGTTTACACAAACAAGAGGAGTTACCTTTTGTATTCACACTGGTCCTGGAAGTTCTGTACCTTAAATTTTTGCTTTTATATGAAACCGTGTTGTTGCAGATGATGGTATGTATCTCAGGCATTTCTTTTCAATAAGTAATCCAAAGTGATTAAATAAAACACCTTAGAAATAACCAAACTAGGTAATGGGGAAAACCTGTCATTCTAGAGCAAGCTGGATTTTATGAAGAGGTAGGAAACAATCACAGGTATAGTTGCATCAGATGCAAACTGTGGGAATATTATTTGCGTTTGTGTGTAGATACATGCTTTTTTATTTATTTAACTGTGCAGAGATGTGGTGAATCTGAAGTCCTAGATGAAAAGGAATCTCTGTCTTCAGCCTCCTTGACAGGTTCCAGTCTTCCTGTTTTTCAGAATGTCCTGCTAAGGTTTTTAGATACACAAGCTCCCTCATTATGTGAGTATTAACTAATCTATATTCCAAAGTAGGTCAGAAGCAACTGGTCTGCTGTCTGGCTGCTGAAGTTTTTGTTTTGCTGGAGTGAGTGTTTCACAGTTTCCATGATTACCTGCTCTATTTTAATACACCGACATTTTTTTTTTTTAATCTCCTTCCGTGCTAAAGGATCTTTCTGTGATTTTTATTTTGTTCTTTTCACAAAAGGAAAATTGGCAGAAACTATGCTTATTTTTGTTTAAGCTGTAAGAGATTTGGGGAAATTACTTGCACTCTATGCATATTTAACATCAAACACTCGCCGCTTTTTGACACATCCACATTTGAAGTGACTGACTTGGAAATTACACCCGAGTGTTAAAGTTGAAAGCTGTTCACTGACAAATAGGTGGATTGAAAAAAGAAACTTTGTTCATCGTAGTTTGCTCTATGAAATCTCTTGATCTAATAAAACTGTCTGATATTGTAGCACGTGTTTCTGGTATCGTAGGTACTGCTAGTTAGTGCATTTTTTTTTTCTGGGGCCTGTAAAGAAAAGGGGATTTTAAGTGGTTTGAAACATGATACTGAAAACTCTCAACATCCGAAAAAGGAGAAACTTCTTAAAAATTTGTTACAGACTCTGAGGTATTGGCAGTGCTCTATTTTCGTGACAGTGGTGGCCCTGGTTTTAATAAACCATCCAAACTATTTGTGTTATTTAGGCTTGTGTTTCTGATGTGTTTGTTTCAAATGCAGCATCGTCATCCTTCACCCGGGTAGCTCTGCGAGGCAGGGTAGGGAGAGCCCCTGGGGAATGTTTTGCTTGCTTGAAATACTCTTTGGGATTTTCGAGTATGGGACAAGTTTTGTGGTATTGTATTGTTGTTACGGTGGTTGAACTTCTGTGTCTCCAAAAATGCAAAGCATTAACTGCTATGTTTTGAAGCAGGGCCGACCACCTGATCTGCAGGTGTGTTTTATGGTGCTCATCCCCATGGCATCCTATAGCCCCCCTTGCTTTGGGAGGGTGGGTCCCCACGGGCAGTTTTGGGTGTGAGGGACTTGGGCGCTGCAGAGAAGTCCTGACCCTGAGCTGGTGTGCTCTTGGGCTCACCGGTATGGCTTCTGTCCTGCAGGGTAATGAGAATTTCTAAATAGATACAGTGTTATGTATTGAACTAATTTGAATTTGTAAAGCATAATTTGCTTTTAAATAAATGATGATTCGGATTTAGTAGTTCTGTAGCTGGAGGTTTTGGTGCCCAGTGGAGTTGGTGTGGTATGAAGCTATTTTCTGTTAACTGCAGCGTTGCAAACCTTTCTGTGGTACAGAACAAGTCAAATTAAATATAGCTGTGACAAATGAGAACTTAATAACAGAATGTTTTATGTTGTATTTTTCTAGGGTGTGCTTTGGCACTGGCAAAATAACATGCATTTATTTTAATAAACTTTTTCCTGATGTGCGTGAGCACAGTTAATAGATAAAATACGCTACGCTATCAAGCATTAATAAAATATTGCTTTTATGTCTCGGAGGCCTGGCATGCAGAGATCGTGAGTTCTTTGAAAATATTTTAAAAGGTTTTCTGTTATGAATTCAGAAGTACTATAGATAAGATAGTAACATTTACTGTAGTAATATAATTTGTTTGGAAAGGCCAACCATTGGGTGGTTTGTTATAATCCAAAGCTTCAGCTTTAATTTTTCTTCACACAGGGAATGTCCTCGCTTTCTTCTCCCTATTTTTTAATTTTTAGAAGTATCTGAACATTGTACTTAACTGCTGACACCCACCCACCCAACGGGGGCAGATGTGTATGGGGTAGGATGCTCTGGAATCCAGTGCTGTCTGAAGTCTGTGGAGTGTCTGGAGCTGACAGCAAAGCAAAAGCATGCAAATTAGATGGGAAATGGTTTGTTCTGTAGAGACAAAGAGAAACCTGTGCAGGATGCCAGAGACATTTTTAGTAGGCCTTTAAAGTTAATTTGCTGGGGTTTACAATTTGGATAGTTGAAACCCAAATATTTATAAGTTGAAACTGCAGTCTAATTTTTTTTTTTTTTTTTTTTTGGGTAGCTGACCCAAATAGTGACCATGAGAAGACAGAGTTTGTGAATTTGGTGCTGCTATTTTCTGAATTCACTCGGCATGATGTTTTCTCCCATGATGCGTACATGTGCACTTTAATATCCCGCGGAGACTTGTCAATCACTGCAACTACTAGACCTAATGGGGAAACTGTGGATGAACAATATTCTAAGGATCATGACGTGAAACTGGAGGTAACACTTAATGCTGTTTCTCCCATCTAAGTTGCTCTGTTTCATTAAACGTAGATTTTCACTGAAGCATTAGTATTTTAGATATAAGATATTAAGTTTTTTAATCTGTGTCTCTTTATCTCTTTCTCTGTCTTTGAGAAGACTGACAATCCATTAGTTTCATTCCTGTATGTAGCTGTAAATATTGCCATTTTGGTGCAAATATACTGAACCGACAGTTTTCTGGTGATCTAAATAACTTGGGACAAACAACAAGCCACAATGTAGACTTCTGAATGTACTCATGGAAAAGCTTAATTGCAGATGGGCTTCAATGAGGAGACTATGAAGCCAGACCTCATGGCTCATACGTGCGTAGTCCAGGTGCGATGCTGAGTCTTCCCTCAGATGAGCAGTTCATGAGCTTTGCTAAAACTAGAGCAGGAGGAAGGCAATTTTAAACTTGGGACCACGGACCACGTTTGTACTCTTTGTGATGAGATGTAGCCTATTCTGCTTGCACATTCCATGTGGATCCTGTAGGCAGCTAAAGCATGCTTTGGTACTTCTTTTTAATTTCTTTTGTATATCTCTTATGTCAGTCTCCTGGCCAAATTTGCCCTGAAATACAGGGGATTTCTACAAGTTGCCTTTCTCGGTACAACAAAGTAGGAAATAGACCCTGGGAAGTTACCAGAGTCAGGTTCCTGTTCTGTAGGTGTCTCTGGAGTAGAATTGCTCATGGGAATATACTGTAAAGTTTTGTTTCCCTCTTTGGCTCCTGCCCTTTTCTGTGCTTCTGTGGCTTTAGTCTTGAGAAATACTTTTGTGAATGAAGGCTTACCGTAAAGATTTAAAAGTCAGTATCTGAAAACTTCTGACCATCAGTACTTTTCCTTAATTTTTAAATAGGTTGGATGTTTGGGTTTACCTGTGGTCAGTGAAATGGGTCTTCAATAAAATGTGACTGATGTTTTTTTTTTTTCTCTCTGGCGATTATTAGGATCATAGTATTATGGAACAAATGGGCATTGACTCAGGAACCACTAGTATTTTTGATGATGTAGACAAGAGTGACTTTAAGGCAGATTTTGGTTCGGAATTTCCAGTAGGTTTAACTTTCAATTTTCTGCATGCCTCTGATGTCCGTGTCTGCTGCTTGCTGTTGTCACTCCATGGCATGGCACTCCATGTCTCTCTATGCCCTAGCACCACCTTGCTGCTTCCATTGACAGCCCATGTCCTTTGGCATCTGGCTCCTGCTGTCTTCTGTATCAGTGCATCACCTCCTTTCTCTGCATCTCTGCTCTATGACCGCTTACTGCTCTTCTGTGCTTCCCCTAGTTGTCCACCCACCCACACCCATGCACACTCCTCTCTCCCTCTTCCCCTTCCTCCCCCTTACCTCCAGCATATTCAGACTGCTGAGTAGTGCAGTTAAGCATGAATAAACAATGCAGATTTACCCATTTCTTTAACATTGAGGAAACCCAAATTGAGACCACATGCTTTTCAAGTGACTGTTCTGTCTTGGCTCCTTCTTCCAAATCTGCTTCCGCCTCTCTTTCTCCTTACTGTTAGCCTGAGTCTGCATGACTCTTCAATCTCTTAGTTTCTTCCTTTGGACTGGTCCTTCTTCTGCACCCGCACAGATTCCTGTGCCCAGACCTATCAGTGCAGATCCACTTGTAGGGTATCGGGACCCCTGTTTCTGCCTGACATCTGTCATATTGGTGGTTTCAAGCATATCCAACACTCCTCTCTCCCTCTTCCCCTTCCTCCCCCTTACCTCCAGCATATTCAGACTGCTGAGTAGTGCAGTTAAGCATGAATAAACAATGCAGATTTACCCATTTCTTTAACATTGAGGAAACCCAAATTGAGACCACATGCTTTTCAAGTGACTGTTCTGTCTTGGCTCCTTCTTCCAAATCTTCTTCCCCCTCTCTTTCTCCTTACTGTTAGCCTGAATCTGCATGACTCTTCAATCTCCTAGTTTCTTCCTTTGGACTGGTCCTTCTTCTGCACCCGCACAGATTCCTGTGCCCAGACCTATCAGTGTAGATCCACTTGTAGGGATCAGGACCCCTGTTTCTGCCTGACATCTGTCATATTGGTGGTTTCAAGCATATCCATGCCTGCCTACAGTGTCTCCTGTCACCTCCCACTTCACCCTTTTCATTATTTTCTCTGTCACTGGAGTATCTCAGTTTCCATGTCACAGCAGCGTAAGAAGTGTGGAGATTGCTCTGAATCATAATGGTTTTTTTCCTGACTGAGTCCTGCTAGTTTAAACTAAGAAGTGTGGAGATTGCTCTGAATCATAACGTTTTTTTTCCTGAGTACTGCTAGTTTAAATCTTGTCTAGTAATAATGGAGGTATGCATAGAGATAAAATGTGTATATGTATCTTAAATTTCAGGCTTGATTAAGATTGCATTTACTTTGTCTGTCTTTGAAAAACCTCAGATGTTTAAGAAGTAACTGTAAGCCAGAACAAAATCACATCTCTGAATGCAATTGCTGAATTTTGAAAGCTAGAGGTTACACTTACCTTAAACGTTTGTTTTACATGACTTAGATTTTCTCTCCGATGCCTGGGGAGTCTTGTGAGAATGTGAACTCTTCTTTAGACAGAAGAATTTCAGTTACCAGCGAGAAGTCAGTCAAGAGGGACAGACTGAGAGAACTGATTTTCCCATCCAATTACGACCTCCTTCGCCATTTGCAATACGCAACACATTTCCCTATACCTCTGGTGAGTGACCTCCGCGCTCGTGTGCGAAACGGTGCTGCCTGATGTGACAGCAAAGCATTCAAAGGAAGAAAAGGTCACTGTCTGAAGACAGCTGGGCTGTGTGACTCCTGCCCAGGGGCTCCTGGCCAGTCCACGTGCCGCTGTTGCTGCCAGCGTGCACACACCATGAGCTGCGGGGTGGCTTTAGTGCCCCGTGGCTTTTATTGGGAAGGGGATGGCTGGAAGAGCACATGAGAGGTTTAACAATATGTGATGACTAACTCGAGTAGGGAGACAGGCACCACAGTAAAACCACCACATTCCAGGGTCTAATAAAAGTTTGTGAAGTAGAAAAAATTGGTATTGTAGTTGACCAGATGCATGAATACCAAAACATCTGAAAGAAATGTTTCTGAAATGTAAGGGACAGAACAGTGTTATTTCCTCCCACCCACTCCTTGCTGTTTCTACCGTGGATTTTTCGCTGCTGTTGTGTTTGTCTGTAGGCTCCTGGGAACTGAAGAAAGCCCCATGAATAACATTCCAGATCCCAAGCCCTCATTTGGTTGACTTTTTATGTTTTCTGCTGTGCTGGAAAAAAGGTGCAAATACTGAACAAGCCTTGAATGGGAATGTATCTACTTTGTTGTTGGTTTTTTTTTTTTTCTTTTGTTTTTCAAACAATGATAACTTTAACAAGATTAAATCCTATCAATACAGGAAGTGTCGTGTGAGAGTATGATGTGATAACCACAGTTTTCTTTGCATTACATTTCTTCTCCATAGATTTGGGGTTCTGATTTATTTCAGGCAAATTGTTAAAATCATACTGAATGAGCTTTTTCTGTTCAGGACAATTTTGGACGCTTGCTTAAAGTTTGAGTTATATTTTGTCCCTTTTAAGTACTAGAAAAGAGAAAACTTGGTTTGGTTTTGTTCCTGAAATATTTTTGATTTACAGATGGAGCTAGTCCAGGTAGCTGGATTTTGCTTGTGCAAATTGATTTTTTTAAAATCTTAATTATTGACTATTCTATACATGCATTATTTTTTGAAGTAATTGTAAATTAGTATATGAATAAACTTAGTTGCTGTTTTCCAAATTTTTATAAATAAAACAAGCAAAGAGAACTCACTGGGTATTTACACTTGCTCTTTGTCTTAGTTTTAAAATTCCCTTGATTTTTCTGTAATAACATGTTAACTTTTTTTTCATACTGATTGAAGCAGCATCAAGGAAAGGCAATGGAACTCGCAAGGCCAACAAATTTATTTATAAAGACTGCAGGTGTGATGTAAGCAGATACAATAGTTTTTTTTTAATCAGTGCAGCTTAAAATAACTTTCTGGAGTAAATAATGCCCTCTAAAATGCTTTTGGGTTAATTGTATCTGTGAAAACTTTGCAGTTTATGAACTGCTATTAAATAATCTCTTCACTTGATTGCACCAAGTCATTTAATATAGTAAGTACAGAATACTTAATTTAGAAAAGGTGAGTTCAGGTGTTTACCATAAATAATGATGCGATACATTTGAGTCTGAACACGTTGTATTCTGAAGTATTGCTGATCCTTGGTAGGTTGTCACAGGTACATTGAACTGTTTCTGAAAGGCGTTATTGAACATTCTGCTAGTTCAGACCTACTATGTGAGTGCATAACAAAGCCATGGGTATTGTTCAAGTCTTTTCCTTCTGCTTGGGCTTAGTCAGCAGGAATGTTGTTGACCACAGTAGCCACTCTCACAATTGCACAACGGCTGTTTATCCTGCAGATTTGCACGCTCTTCTGATGTGTTTTGGAATCCATTCTCTTGCATCTCCTGTTCACTTCTATGTTGCACCTCTTTGTCTGCAAAATCCTTTGTCTCTTTGGGTCCCGAAAAAGTCTCCGAAAATTTCAATCTGAATGATTTGGAAAGATGGTAATAGAGAATAGGGTCAAAACAGAGGTTTGATACTGCAAACAGCAAAGTAGATTCTTTAGCTTTGAAGAGAGCTTGTTTCAGAGGGCAGCTGGTTATGGTATCGCTTTGGCTCAAAGTGTAGGGGATGCGAACAATGTGGTACGGAACGAAACACAGTAGGTAGGCTGCAGTTACGAGCAGTATGTTGATGAGGGCTTTCTTCACATTTGCGTAACTCTCGCTGTATTTGTTTCGGTAGAGTTGTCTAACAACAAGGAAATTGGAAATGAGAATCACAGCTGAAAAATTCAGGAATATTGCTGTGCATATGAAATTAGTAAACACGTGCCAATCTCTTCCAAATTTTGTTTTGAAGTCGATGCATCCTGCACCAGGTCTTTCTTCAATGTTTTTTGTTGGAATAGCCATGTTAGGCACTGTTATGAGGAGCACCATTGTCCATACGACTGCAGACAACATCTTGGCAAATCCAGGCTCTTGAATGCGGTAGATCTTACAACTGTGCATTAGCTGGAGGCAACGATCCATGCTTACAAATCCCAAAAATATAATAGATAAATACATGTTCAGGTAGATGAAACAGGCTGTAACTTGACAGTGGAATATTCTCAGTTTCCAGGACGCAACTCCTAAATCAACAATAATCTTTACTGGCAATGCCAAAGTCAACAAAAAATCCGCTGTTAAGAGGTTAATTAAGTAGATGCTCATACACTTCTGTTTCTGATCTTTTTGTGTGAATGCCCATAGTGCGAAACAACTTCCAATAAATCCCATAAGAAAAATCAAGTAGTAAAAATAGGTAAAAGGTTCCATTTCTTGACCGATGTGGCAGTATGAAACATTGCTTGACATTGTAAACTTCTTGTGCAAGTTGGTATTGCTGCTAGGAGGTACCAAGAACCTACGAAAAGAACCAAGATGACATCAGCTTTTCCTGAGCAACGGTTGTTGTTTTCTGAGAATTTTGTTCCATTTAAGTTCAGAGAGTAAATGCAATTGGGAAGAAATATTTTTCTTTCTGTGCTACTTAACAAATATTAAAGAGGGCTTTCTTCTCATGTCACAAAATTTTAGAAATGTATTCGGGTTTGTTCTTGAAAGCATATGGACTTCTCAGAAATTTTTACGCTAGAGCAGTCTTTCTGAATGAGTGTTTGGTGCAATCCCCCACTCTCCTGCCCCCCCCAAACACAACACCGTAAGAAAGGTTTGAATCTATTTAAGATTAAGCATCTGGTTAATAGTGGTCATACTAAAACTTTGTAACTTTTGAACAAATGAAGCTATGTGTTAAAAAAGGGTAATATTTGTAGCAAGTCTTGTTCTATAAAAATGTATTTGGAGTTTTGAAGTTAACGCATGTCAAACCAATAAGCGGATACGTCAGACAGTTGAGCAAATAGTTTTGATCAGTCCCAAGTTTTTGCAAACTGCTCTGTCTTTCTACTTGAACAGAGGATAAATTAATTGCATTTTTTTATTAAGCCAGCCTTGAGAAAAAGCACATTTTGGGAGAAGCGGCTATTAAACAGTTTTGCTCACTTCCTTTTTAGGCTTGACTGGAAGTTATAGGGAAGAAAAGCAGAAAATTTTGGTCTTACTTTAACTAAATATACTACTCCATGACCAAGGGGTTTCCTTTTTTGGTCCTGAAATCGTGTAACGGAGTTGAATTAAGTTTGGGTGGTGAGCGCGGTGTCGGTGAGGAGCTGCTGGCCTTGCTGCCGTGCTCCTGGGGGGGGTGAGAGGTTCCTGCGCTGGGGCAAACCGAACCCTGAAATGCTGGGGGAACCGGAGCCTCCAGAGATACAGCGTGGCTGAAGCCGGTAACGCTGGCTACAGGCAAAGCAACGGCTGTGTTGCTGAGCACTCGAGCCTGGCTTTGGCACTGTTAATATTTCAGGCTGTATATTTGCGTAGCTCTAGATAAGCTGGAACAGGCAAAGACTGAAAGCACGTACCTGTCTGAGCGGTCTCTGGGGTCTCCTGAGCATTAGTCTGCAAAGGTCTGATGTCTCTGAGCGGCTGCTCTCGCAGCCCGCTGGCGCGTTAATCTTTTCCTCTGGCTGCGTCTGCTGGTTTTCTGAAACGTGTCTGTGGTTTTTAAATGTGCTGATTGACGCAGTTAAAACCAGCCTTTAAATGACTAAACCACGTGGAAGTTACCTAAAAAAGAGGTAACAGAAAAACGTCAGTGTTCATGGAACAGCCCGGAGAGACCTCTCTTTCCTGTGGCTGGGGCAGGGGCTGGTGGCCGGGCAGTCCCAGGGCAGTGCCCTCTGCACGCTCGGCCCCGCGTGGGGCTGATGAGCGGCTCCTCGGGCACTCGGTGCTGGGCAGGGTGAAATGGAGAAGGATGGGGAGGAAAATAGCTGTGAAAGAGCTGAGTTAGACATGTGGATGTGGCCAGTAGTATGGATTATTACCATTATTGCCATTCAAAATGCGTTTTTGTGGAGGGAAGGTGGTCAGAGTTGCTTGCTGTGTCCTCATCAGAGAGCCGACAGGGATGATGAATAGTGCTATCGACTGGCTGGTACCTTGTGGACCGGATGGCAGTGCAATTTTCGCTCTCTCCTCCTAACTTCAAGCCTCAAGATTTAAGTTTAAATGTTCATCATGTCTTCACTTACGTAAGGATGAGGAGACCCATGTGGTTTGGTCAGCCCCGGCATGTGGGATTTTTCTTGTAGTGCCTAAAACTTCATCAGGTTAGTCCCAGATTCTTGACCTGCAGCTGTAGATGTGTGACCTCAATGGCAGTTTCTTTCCTTTCTGTTTATAAAAATCTGAAACTCTTTTTCCCACCCCTCCACACATCATATATTTAAAATCTATCTGGAATCAGGGATGTGCAATGTAGTTGGTGCTCATTCATTATAATATTCCTGCATGAGATTCCTTTTTTCCCCCTAGAATTGGAACCTAATTTGCAGATTTAAAGGCACACAGGGATTTACTGATGGCAATTAAAATTCTAATCCTTTGGACATTTGCCAAGCACTATTAAAAATAAAAATGACACATTAGGGATATAAGGGAAATGTTTATAGTTAAGCTTTTTTCTTCTTGTTGTTGTCTAGTACCAGG